CATTTTTGGAGAGTGCCAAATGCTCCCCAGAAGATACATTTATTGCAGCTTTTGTTTCCACAACAGGCTGCTGTGTACACAGAACTCAAATTTCTCTCATGAGTGCCTGTCTGCATCCGTTCTTCTTGCGTAAATCCACCAGAGGCCGCTGTTGACTGATTGACTGACTAACCGATCAACTGACCCACCCTCCTCTCTCCCAAAACCCAATCAATATTTTCAAAAGCCCCGATCGACCCCCCACCCTCTTCCCTAAACCCAACCAACAGTTTTAAAAAGCAATCCACAAAACAAAAGCCCTCGTCTGATTTTACCACATTCTCACCCTGTTATTTACTTGTTTATTTTATTTTATTTATTTTATTTTTTTTGTTTTTGTTTTACCTGTTTTCTGGAATCGTTCTTTGCCAGACTCCCAACCCCGTCATTGTGGTCAACTCCTCTCTGTGTCTCAAGTCCATCAACGTACATGGTGAGCTAACTTCACAAACTGGTAAAAGTGGGAAAATCGTTGATATGGAGGTAAGCGGTCAGTTGATAAGCGTGAAAAGGAACAGCGTCATACTGCCTCGTATCGTTGGTTTTAAAGACAAAATGCAGCCATAAATACTTCTGGCTACATAATTCGCCATCTCAAGAAATGTATGTAAGGTTACATTTTCAGAATGAAACATTAAGTCAACGTAACAATTTCAAGTTACAACAGGTTTAGTCATTACATTAAATAAAGTTAACTTTTGGCATTTCAATTGATTAAAGTAAGTAATTATTTTTCACATTTTGGATGACACTCCAATGTCTCTTTAGCTTAAATGCTACATTATTGATGAACCCTCCGACATCCATTGTTATATGTTCTGAAATGACTTAGTCACTTAATAAGCATGCGCTTGATAATATTTGCATTTTTGGCAGTCTGCCTCGGTGTCCTGACATTTTATCTTACCCATTATATTATGCTACCAACACTGTATTTGAATGGTTCTAAGTTTGGGGATAGGTTAGGGCGATATTACAGCTTTGTATTAAACTACTCCATATAAAAATTTACACTTGTCACCCTAATGTGCTACTTACTTTCTGAATGGGAGGTAGGACAATCTGTCAAGGTAGGACAAATGGACAGAACACCGAGAGACAATCCTGAGCTCAGAGATAATTGAGTCCAGGGCTCCTGCCTGGTGGATGAGCATGTAAGGGGTGCGAGACCAGGTAGTTCTCAAGAGCTCCGCCTGGTAAAGGAGGAAAGGGGGAGATAGGTTTGATGGGGGGATTATTCAAACCGAAAATAAAGGAGTAATTCTAGACAGGATATTTATAGTGAGTTTAAAATAATGGTTTTGCTAGTGATTACAGATGACAGACCAGCCAGGATTAATCATATCACGTGCTCCTCTCAAAAGTAGTTTGTGAAACTTCACTTCATGGAAACACCACACTGTAAAACATTTAATGACAAAAAGTCCACATCATTTTTTTTTATGTTGCTTGAACTTATTTTAACAAGTTAATTAGGTTTCACCTCATTTTTAAATTTTAACTTAATATTTTTTGTCAGTTTGATTAATGTAAGTCGAGATGATTACATTTGATTCAACTAAAAAAATTAAGGCAGCAAAAAATTTGAGCATCTTCACTTATTGATTTTTTTTCAACTTTTAGAAAACAAGAACACTCTCTGTAATAGAAACCTGCAGCACCAGCTGACTACAAATGCAGATTTAATATACAATTAATTGCTCTTAAAGGGACAGTTCGCCTGAAAATCTGAAAAACTGAAGATCACTTCATTTTTAACCTCAATTGGTTCTGAATCATTATGAGTTTATTTCTTTTCATTTAAACACAAAAGAAGATATTTTAAAGAATGCTGATAACCATTTCCATTGATGGAGGATGGGTTACCAACATTCTTCAAAATATCTTATTCTGTGTTCAGTAGAAGGAGGAATAAGACAATTGAAAATTTTTATATCTTTAAGTTATTTATACACACAACAGTCTTTCTAGTGGTTGTTATATTTGTACTGCTTAAAGTTCAGATGTTTAAAAAAAAGTTAACTAATATATATAATATATTCAGCCTCTTTTTAAAAAATATTCATATTAATTCAAAATATGAGCTTGTCATAACTAATTGGCAGAATTTATTTATAGAGTGAGCATGAGCATTATCTGTCATAGAAACCTACACTGTAAACCCTGATATGCTAAGTAACTCAAACTGTTTGAGGAAACCGAAAACTGATGTTTTTTAAATTGAGTCATATACATATATATTATTTGTGTTCATATAGTCAAACATTTAGCGTATTAATAGTATTAATAGTAGCAAAAGTTTTATCAAATCGATATGAGTTCAGTTAACAGAATGAATTGTCCAAACAATTACATATTGTAGCTACTCAAATGGTTTGGTATTGCTTCTAGCATTGAGCTAACACAAATTAATTAATTCATAACTCATTTGGTGTAAGTTCTGCTTAATATAATCTGTTTATGAGTAACCATAACTCCTTTTCATTAAGTCAAAGGTCTCTATTTTGACGATTCATGCGCAAAGCGCAGGGCGCAAATGCATTAGGGGCGTGTCAGAATCCACTTTTGGTAATATAAGGACTGAAGAGGGTTGAGTTTATTTCTTACTGAGTTATGAGTGTGTTTTGAGAATAAACCAATCAGAGTCTCATCTTCCATTCCCTTTAAGAGTCAGTTGCATTGCGCCATAAGCGCATTTGCTATTTACATGACGACTTTGTAAGTGGAAAAACTGAAAGCTTCACTAGCAAGAAAACAGTTAAACAAAGCATCTGCAGCACGAGAATGAGAGATAAGGCCACTAATTATCTACTTTCACTTTTGCTCTCGTGGATAGGGAAAACTTGTACGCTCAAACATCAATTAGCCAATAAATAATTAATTTTGTTTGTTAAGCGCAACGATTTGTTTCAAAACTATTTCTAAATGCAGTTCTAATTTCCAGCAAACGAACAAATGAACGATAATAACGAAGTGAGTTAAAAAAACGGAGTAATATCCTAATTCACATGCTGTGCCCTATATGGTCTGAAACCTGCAGGTGGGCAAATCTAAGCTAATTTTTAATAAAACTAAATATAAATATGGATATGATAAATAATACTGCTAGTAATAATAAGATTATACAATATCAAATTGCCATAAATGAACTGAAAAAGCCCCCCGAGATGAAAAAGGCATAAAAGTATGGTTTTTATATTTATATAGGCTAGAAAATAATGTTTTGTAATATTTTAATCCTTTATATTTATATCCTATACATATACTTATTATATCCTTTATATATCCTTAATATTTTAATTATTTTTCATATGTAAAGATATTTGCGTATTGCTCTACATCTTTGGTGTATTAAGCAGTGTGTAAGTGAGGCGCACAACTAACGCACTCTGCGCTGGACAATAGACCAGCTTTGTTCTGGTCTATTGAAAAGTCTATTATAATTTCTCAAAATAGCAACGTGCCAGCAATGCACCTCATCAGCCCTCCCTTTTAGAACAGAACGCCTATGGGTGCACATATGAACGCAAATGCATTTGCTTTTTAAACAGCGTGGTGCAAAACATCCAAATGACTCTTGCGCCAAGCTGAAACTAGCAAACAACAATTGCGTCTCGCCTTGCGCCACATGGCGCAGTTTACAAACTTTTTTAAAAGTTAAAGTAACTTAATACAATTAGTGATGTACACTGTTAGGTTTTACAGTACAGGTGACTACAAATGCACATTTAATACAATCAAGTGTACTTAAAAAGACACCAAAAACTGAAAATCAATTCACCACATTGTAAATAAAAAATGCTGGGTTCCACACAATTCCTTCATGTTGTCCCAAGGTCGCTGGTTTAAGCCCCGGCTGGGTCAGTAGGCATATCTGTGTGAAGTTTGCATGTTCTCCCCGTGTTGGCATGGATTTTCTCTAGGTGCTCTGGTTTCCCCCACAGTCCAAAGACATGTGCTATAGGTGAATTGAATAAACTAAATTGGCCATAGTGTATGTGTGTGAATGCAAGAGTGTATGGGTGTTTCCCAGTGTTAGGTTGCGGCTGGAAGGGCATCTGCTGCGTAAAACAAATGCTGGATAAGTTGACGGTTGACTCCACTGTGGCGACCCCAGAATATTAAAGGGACTAAGCCGAAAACAAAATGAATGAATGAAGATATTTTGACGAATGCTGATACCACTTGACATCCACACTATAAATGTAGACTATGGATGTCAATGGTTTCCAACATTCTTAAAAAAAATATCTTATTTTGTTTTCAGTAGAAGGAGGATTTTTTTTAGATCTTTAAGTTATGTACACACATGCAATAGTCTTTCTAGTGTGTGTTTGAGATGTAATCATGCCACAATGTACAGCAGCTGCTAATGTCCAGCAGGAATGTGAGTGGGTCACTGCTGCCACCTGGTCAGAGATCTCACTCTCAACCCTCCATTCACACCAACTCCCAGCACAAGCAGCCCAGCAGCTGTCTTTTATGACAAATATAATGCAATATCTGGCAACGTGCTTGCCTTGTATAACAATATTTAAAGCTGCAGCTCTCCAAAATGATGTTCGATTTCACACCAGACTGCATATTCTGCGCTCTTAACATTCTTCGTGTGGATTCGGGTCGAAGCTACATTGAGAAACCAATCTCCACATTCTTCTGGTTCCTCACAGGCTCATATTAGGATGAGAGGAGTCTGTTTTTGCAATCGTTCAAGTCGTCTTGGGTCGGACTTCCTAGTCAGACAGGAAGCACATTCCAACTTTTGACATTTAAGAGCGTTCATATAATCACATTTGCAATATATAATGAAGCTAAATGTGAACGGAATGACATTATCCCTTCTGGGACTCCTCTGCGCTCTGCGTTTCCTTCCCTAAATTGGTCAAAAGTGAGCACTGCCACTGACCTTTTGAATACCTCAATGGAGAAAAGTAAACAGACATAAAATCTGACAACTCATAAAGAGACAGTCATGATCACTGTAAAGATTTAATAAATCCATCCAAACAAAACAGACTGTTTGCCAATAAAACTTAGCAGTTCGCGTGTAGCAGACGTATCCCTCAAAAGCAAGACGTTTTGACATCAAAAATAATTGGTCATGCTTTACTTGAAGGGGCGTTCATAAGACAATTCGGAATACCTTAAAACATTAGGTAGTTCTGAGTGTGCCTTGCACAGATGGGTGGGCTTGACAAACCACCTGTAGAAAACACACTTTTCCATTTCTATATGCACCAGATTAGGGCTGCACATATTATTTCAGCATCGATATTGCAATGTGGGCATTCGCAATAGTCACATCGTAGGATTTGCAAAGTAGAGTCAGGGTTATAGTTGACCAGTAGCCACACGGTATTTATGGTTACATTTTGCAGTGACTCCACAATGTTACTAAAAATTGTAGCATTTGCATGGTTTCTCAAGACCCATGTTGGCATTTTAAGCCAGTTCAAGCATTGGAGCATTAAGAATTATAATGTTTCTTACTTTTAATTGTATTTTGATATACGATTTTACATTTGACTGTGTGCCTGAATACTGCTAGAATCCCAGAAAACTATAAAGCACTTTTTATTTTATTTGTTATCTTTGCTCTACTGTTTTTATCAGTGCTTGCTTTATTAGTTTATGTAAATGCTCTACAAAATGACCTCAATTACTCTAAAATCAACATAATAATTCCATTCAAGTTGTGTTATACACATTATCACAATGTGTATAGCACAAAAATAAAATATTGCAATGTCAGTTTTTACCAATATTGCGCAGCCCTACACCTTACAAACACTACATATCTCTAGAAAAACATTTCTGAGTGTGCCTCACAAAGGAGAGTGGGCTTGACAAACCACCTGTAGAAACACTTCTGTCTCTTTTTGCACCAAACACTTCTCTTAAATATTTGTCTTTGTTAAGAAAATTTGACATCACCAAGACAACATAAAATAACACGTAACGCGCACAATTTGTCTGTTTGTCACTTCAAGTCAGAATAACAACACATGTTAAAATGAGTGCCGTAAAGCAGCAGTAAGGAGATTGTAAAAAAAAATGGATCAACAGTAAGGATGTTGCCAGAGTGGCTTTTTGGTTTCTTTTCTTGTGCATCCCAGCTGACAGCACCTTATCAGAAAGATTTTTAGCATAAGGGAAAATGTAGTCATTCAACTTCACAATTTTTAATGTTCAATATGTATTTAAATAATGATGGTCGGTTCCTTTACTTGAAAGCTCAGATTTGATTATCATAATTTGTTTTGATTACAGAGTTTAAGGTTTACTGGATCACTATTATTCACACCTTAAATTTAGCTTTGATTGTTCAGCGTTACCATTGCACACAATTTGTACTATTTTATTTATCAAGTTTAAGAGTCTCTTTAACACTCATGTTTTTTTTATTATAAAGAAATCAAATATTTTGTTTTAATATTTGTTTTTGACTATTAAAACTATTGGTCTTAGTAATGTTGGTAAATTAAAATAAAGTGGTTAAATAAAATAAAATCCTAATATTCCTAAATGGATTGTTAAAAAAATATTCAATAATTATCGATATCGAATGATATGAAACATGATATCGTGATAATGTTTTTTGCGTTTTCGCCCAGGTCGACGTTACTATAAAAATATTTGATAGAGTATTGAGAAATTTTACCTAGAAATTATTTTTGTTTCACTGAAAAGAGGTCAGACATGCAGTGCTCAACATGAATGAACATGAACCCCATTTTGAAAATGAATATTTTTATCCATTTCTCAGTGAAATATATCTTAGATAACATATTTTGGTGCATTTGAACAGAACAGATTTATTAAACCGATATATTTATTAAAATAAAATTTACGGAACATATAAATTTCAACCAAACTTTGTAAAATATTTGTTTCTCTTGAATTTTGCTATTTTAATTTTTGTTAAATATTTTTACCTAACATAAATTTGGGTGTACTAATTTTGGACAGTATTTGTAAGTTATTTTCTTAGGTAAGCTCCTCACCTGCCATCCTCAGGCATCTTCACCTGCCATCATGAGATGTATATTAACCATAAAATAAATATTTGTCCACTGATCAGTGCTATGAATGCAATTTCTATTAGATTCAAATGATTTCAATAATTTTTATAACAAAAATATTGTATTTTGCATATTTCCGGCTCAACTACAGCATAGTAAGCGAGGTAAGACAGCCCGAGCTGTGCCTCACATCAGATTGTGCAAACCCCTGCACAATGGCTTGAGTGTGTGCCTTTTGCTTACTCAGTGTATGCTACCAATGTAATGCTTTATTAAAATGTTTTTATACATTGTAGACATCATGTCCTCACTTTCCATATAATAGGTAATGTATTTAATGTGCAGTATGTCTATCACGGAAAAGACAGAAGATGAGACAGGCAGTAGCTTTGCCACACTGTAGAGGGTGCGCGTGAGATCATGGTTATTCTTGTTCAGTGGTTGCTCTTTTTCTACGTCAAGTGAAGTTCAATTGGAGTTTGTTATTTCATGTTTTGAGAGACAAAGAGCTAGCACACACATCCCATGTGGTGCTGTGTCGCTTGGTCGCTTGTTATAGGCTGTCTGTAGCTTCCACCTTGGTGTTTTTGGGAGCCATATTGAATCGCTATACATTTTACATTCTTCCTCAGCCCAATATGTACCTGCTATGTGCACAAAAAGAATGCTAATATGCTATATCAAACACAATCGGTTGTTGGCAAATATATTGGGTGCATATATTTGTAAATCTGACCCTGAAAAAGTATATGCCTCACCGGCCACAAATCTCACCACACGTCACTGATGCACAAATGTAATATTGTACAGCTTCCTATAGGAAATATGAATCTAAATGAGAGATTTGTGAGGGGTGTACTCATATATGTTGAGCTCTATATATTCATGACCCAATGGCCTCAATTATGTTTATGACAGATTTCCGACAAGCTACGCTGGCTTGGTTATGTCAAACTGTCGTAACAAAAACATCTCAAACAATGTCATCAGTGCATTTAATCACTCAATGACAGCTGTCATAAGCATGCATACAATCTCCTTCATCTTCATGTCATGATTATAAACACCTTATGAACACCCCTTCAAGTAAAGTGTTCCCAAATAATCTATTAACACAGAAAACAACAATCAAGAAAAGTCAAAAGACTATTTTAGACAAATATATTAAAGATTTTCTCCGACCTTCACACAGTACTGTACTAATACGTTCGGTTCTTTCAACAGAACCTGTGGTGAGTACATCAATGCAGTACTAAAGCATCAACCATGTCGAGTAAAACTCTTTGGGTGTGAAGAAAGAAGATGCGCCTCTTAAACCTTATTTTTCAAAGCCCAGATGAGAGGAGGAGAAGCGTCCTGAATTGGATCTGTGTCTACGAGTGCACATTAAAGGGCACAAACCCAGACAGGATGGTATGCTTTATGAAAACACTCGTTTTCCCCGAAGCTGTTTTTGTGCTGGTTTCGCTGATAGACACTGATGTCCTCCTGAATAGTTCCCAAGAAAGTCCTTGGAGGAAAGAATCCACAGGCAGTGATGTATGTGGACCTGGGCTGTAGAAGTGGTCCACTCCAAAGCGTCAAGTCCAGTGAATCTCAGAACCAAACGCTGGCCTTCGCTTTGTCCTGCTCCAAAGCTGTGGACGATAAAATCAGGCTCTTTAAAACATTTTTGTTTTATTCTGCAACATAATATTAGAGATTGCAATTTTAACATATATGTGCTATATTAGGACAAATGCATTTGTATTAGAAGTTATTAAACAATAAGCTGGTAAATATGTAATTGTGTTATGATTTATTCATTTTCCTTAGTCACTTTATTCATCAGCTGTCGTCACAGTGGATTGAACCGCCAACTTCTCCAGCATACTGTATGTTTAACGCAGCGGATACCCTTCCAGCTGCAACCCATCACTGGGAAACACCCATACACTCTCATTAACACACGTACACTACGGGCAATTTAGCTTACACAATTCACCTATAGCGCATGTCTTTGGACTGTGGGGGAAACCGGACCACCCAGTGGAAACCCACGCGAACATGGAGAGAACATGCAAACTCCACACAGAAATGCCAACTGACCCAGCAACCTTCTTGCTGGCAGTTGACAGGGCTAATGGACTGAGCCGCGGCTATTATGTTATTATACTTTTGATAAATACATACAAATCATAATTGTACGAGTAAATTAATAAAAAAAGTGCAGAATTCTTATATAATCATAAAATGCTTATGATAGCACAAAAGATACGAATTGATGTCATGTATACGGTATATTCGGACAAATTCATTTGTATTAAAAGTTTAACCACAACAATAAGCTGGTAATTCTGTACTAATTATGTTCTTATATTTTCGATAACTTAAAAAAAATGTACGCATCACAATTGTATACGGGAAATAAATAAAAAAATGTACAGAATTCTATGTATAATCTGGTATAATCATAAAATTCTTATGATTACACGAAGATACATAAGAAGGACTGCACCAGTATTCAGATTTGGATTAAAGATTACATTAAAATGTGTATTAATATTCATTCAATCATTCATTCATTTTCTTTTCGGCTTAGTCCCTTTATTAATCAGTGGTCGCCACAGTGGAATGAACCGCCAACTTTTCCAGCCTTTGTTTGACGCAGCGCATGCCCTTCCAGCTGCAACCCATCTCTGGGAAACACTCTTACACTCTCATTCACACACATATACTAGGGCCAATTTAGCTTATTTAATTCACCTACAGTATAGCTCATGTCTTTGGATCTTTGGGGGAAACTGGACCACCCGGAGGAAACCCACACCAACATGAAAAGAACATGCAAACTCCACACAGAAATGCCAACTGACCCAGCTGAAGCTCGAACCAGCGACCTTCTTACTGTGAGGTGATTGTGCTACCCACTGCGCCACCGTGATGCCCATATGCATTAATATATAAAATATAATTAGAAATATTGTTTAATAACTTATTTATATTTATAAATTTAAACAAAGTGGCTTTTCATATAAATGAATGCTTTACATTATGAGTATCACATCTAAATAAAAACACATAATGTAAGAATAATATGATGTTTCATGAAAAGGAAGACCTAGTAACTGTACTTAAAAACAATCATCTTATATAAGTTATTATACTTTTACTTTTATAATTATTTACTGTTTTTCAAATATATGCATTAAAATGACCAAAAGTGACAGTAAAGATGTTTTTTATGGTACAAAAAGTTAATATTTATAATGAATGGTATTATTTTGAACTTTCTTTAAATCACGAACTACCAAAGACCCCGAAAAAAAAAATTTTAAGCAGCAAATTTGCATATTAAAGTGATTAATTAAGACCCTCACATTATTAAATGCCATTTTAAAATATAATATAAAACTGTCATGTTTAAAACAAAAAAATATTTTAGTGACTATTATTTTTACTGTATTTTTGGTTCAAATAACACTTTGAGGATAATTAAAATTAACTATCCCTAAATTAATAGTAATTATTAGTAGTGTATAAAGATGGATCGTAGTTTTCTTAATGAATATGTATTAAGAAATAATTATTAAAAATACACATTATTAAATGAACTCTTATTATTTAAAAACTAATCACAACATAATGAAATTAAGCCCATGCTACTGTACATAAGTGTACATATTTACAATCTCACTGAAAAAAAAAACTTGAGTCAGCTTGAAATTGTAGCTATTTTTGAGCTGACTCAACCTTTAAACCCTTTAACTATCACCACCCCCCAAACCAGAAAGTTCACCTTATTTTTTTGCAATTAAATCCTAATCTAATTATGACAAACTGTATATCATTGAAAAAGGTCTAAGTCTTCTGAATACATATTTTACTGTTGTTTTTAGCTACGTAGGATGAGTAATAGATTTACAGCCACCCAACAACCTGTGGGACCGTTAACAGTAAAATTTTTATTAAACTATTATATTGTACTTTAAACAAAGCAATCATAACAAACTATGGACAGATTGAAAGTAAAAAAAATCTGGTTTCCATATCTGGTGACTGTTTAATAAAATTATAAATATTACTGAGCAACAGTTTTTTATTAATATGCCGGAAGTAGTCATAAAGCATTACTTTGCTACAGCAATTCACATGTTAAAAAGTGGGGGCGACAGTTAATGGGTTTAACTCAAGTAGTGCACTTGACTCGATTTAAGTTGAGTCAACTTAAAAAGCTCTGGAGCAAGTTCATTCATTCTTTCATTCATTTTCCTTCAGCTTAGTCCCTTTATTCATTAGGGGTCGCCAAAGCGGAATGAACCCCCAACATTCTGTAGCAAGTTGTGTCAAACAATTTCAAGTTGAGTCAACTTTTTTTTCTTATGTTATCTCACCTGTATCGTAGATGTCCACTGACCCATGGAAAGAAGCAGGCCAGCTCGGTGTCGGGATACTGCTGGGCTCCAGCTCTGTTTTTATTGTATCGGTGCAGGATGTCGGACTGCAGGACGCTCTTACGCCTGGTAACAGAAGCGGGTTGAAGCGGGGGTCCAAAGCAGGGCTGTGGGCATGATGGAGCACGTGATGAGCGTGTGGATGTGGGTGCCGCGGGTGCATGTGAGGGTACATCTCGTGGACGTGAGGATATCCCGCTCCACTCTGTGGTCCTAGGCTGTAGTGCCAGGAGTCTGTGAGAGCAGAAGGAGGAGGAGCGAGGCTGTGGCTGCTCCAGATGCCATTTTCTGCAGGGTGGAAAGCGGCGCTGGGGGGGAAGTCGTGGTGAGACGATGGGACACAAGGGCTGCTCTGGGACGGGTAACCACTGCCCCATAGAGATGAAGGTAAAGAGCTAGTCTGACCCTCCGAGTGGGAGTTTCCTTCTGAAACACAAGCAAACACTTGCTCAGTACAATAACAGGATATACACCTTATAACTAGGGCCAGACGGAATCTGCGCATGTTTTTTACTATTTCTGCGGAGAATTTTAGTAAAAATCTGTGGATTTCTATTTTGGGAGTATCATAATTAAAATCTTAATGTATAAAATAAAAAATAAAATCTTTAAAACTTTTATTTAAGGTTTAAAATGCAAATCCAATTAGATTCACTTTATTTGGTAAATAAAGCAAGTTTGATATATATTATATCTAGTAAAAGACAGAAAATGATACTGTACACATTGCATTGTACATAAATCAGATGAACATTTTCACATTAGTCAATAATATCACTGAAATTAATTAAAAAATCTGAATAAATATAGATTTAAACACATTTACTCAAGTTAATAAACAGAATTAATGATGGGCTAAAAATCTGCAGAAATCAGCGGAAAATCTGCAGAATTCTGCACACGCAGATTCCGGGTGTGCCTACTTATAACACCTTTTTATAGACTCTTTCCATACATTTTAAAACCTAATCGGAACTTTAGGTTTCAATCGGTAACATTGGCAACATTTTAACTTACAGTAGGCTATATTTACTAAATGCTGATTGAAACCAATCCTAAACTAAAACAATCTAAAAATGGTAATCCAGCAGGTGCCACAGACAACAGCAGAATAAAGGTTTTGCCTTGGTTACTGCAGTAAACAAAGAAAGGTGATGTCAAATCTCACAGGATTTTATTGATTTCAAAAATTAAACAGCATTCCAATATTCACAGATTAAATTCAGAGCGTTCAGAACTTTTTAATACCATTTAATGGCCTTACATTTGATTTGGTTGATTTATCAAAATTTTATGTACTAATTTATTATACTTTTTTTGTACATTTTAAAATGTCATTAAACTTACTTATATACCGGTTGATATCATAATCATTAGCCCCCCTTGGATTCTCTTTTTTTTTTTTTCTTCTTTAAGTATTTCCCAAATTATGTTTAACAGAGCAAGGCAATTTTCACAGTATGTCTGATAATATATTTTTCTTCTGAAGAAATACTTATTTGTTTTATTTCGGCTAGAATAAAAGCAGTTTTTAATTTTTTAAAACCCATTTTAAGCTCAAAATTATTAGCCTCTTTAAGCTATATATTTTTTCGATAGTCTACAGAAAAAACTATCGTTCTACAATAACTTGCCTAATTACCCTAACCTGCCTAGTTAACCTAATTAACCTAGTTAAGCCTTTAAATGTCACTTTAAGCTGTATAGAAGTGTCTTGAAAAATATCTAGTCAAATAATATTTACTGTCATCATGGCAAAGATAAAATAAATCAGTTATAAGAAATTTGTGTATTATGTTTAGAAATGTGTTGAAAAAAATCTCTCTGTTAAACAGAACTTGGGGCAAAAATTCAACTTTATTTATTGTATGTCACAAAATCCAAAATTACAATTATTTTAGTTTAAAAAAATGTCATTTTGTTAGTTTCCAAACTACATTAACATACATTGAAGTTGCTGTAGTTAAAATAGTAAAATACAGCTTTAAATTTTAAAAGCTGATATAATTTAGTGAACTGTTAATAAAGTGTTAATATATGCATTCATTCAATTTCTTTTCAGGTTAGATGTTTATTAATCAGTGGTTGCCACAGCATGAATGAACCACCAACTTATCCAGCATACTTTTTTTATGTAGCAGATGCCCTTCCAGCTGCAACCCGAGTGATAAAAGTAGGGGTGTTAAAATGAATTGTTTCAATTCGGCATCGGTTCAGTAATAATCATAACCGGTTATTATGTACTGATGTCATTTTTCACATAAGTTATATGGCAGTAGCTTACTATGGTGAGGGAGGAGACTGTTGGTAATTAAAACACTCCAACTACTTAAAAAGCAGATAACTGTGCACAATTCACTACTTGAAAGTTTGCTGGACAGTCTTTCACTGCCAGGGAAGTGCATCAGAACCCAGCTAGGAAAAGAGCCAATCACAGCCTTTTCTGTTGAGCACGTGGCCAATCATAGGCACTTAAGAACTTGCTTAACAACGCTTAAAAAGCAATTGGGATAATATTTACATTTGCTTACTTACTATAAATGATCATGTTGTTCTGTGCATGTATTTTAGTTTTGTTTGATACATTCAAACAGAAAGTTTTTTTGAGCAGGGTAAAATTAAAAGTACAGTACATATGCCTGACTGATTGTATTAAAGGGCAAAATTGTGTTACAAATAATATATAAATATAATTATATTTTTAAGTTATGCAGTTTAACACAATAGTTATTGTGTAGCTAAGTAAAATATCAAATTGTGGATGGAAAGCATTGTCAATGCACCGAGATATCGAATTGAACCGAATCGATGGCATGATAATCGATTCAGAACCTTCAGATCTGTGTGCCTCGTGTAGGTTCAGCCCCCCACTTAATATTGTGATTTTGGTTGAAATAAACTGAACCCAAGCAAGAAAATTTGACCCACACCCCAATAAACATGATTTTTGACATAAATAATGTCAACAATAAACAAAATAGCTCTCAAAATAACTTTTTAAGCTAACCAAATCTATTTATTATCACTATAATTACAATTTGTGTTATAAATGTTGTCTCCTACCTTTCCATGGTCCTCCAGGGTTAAGTCTGCTGGCCTTGGTGTCATTGCTAAAGGCACTGTTCTGGCTCAAAGCGCGTGAGAAATGCTCGTCCACCACATCCCCGATGTCTCCACGAAAATAGGTGAAGACCACACACCTGGCACTCAAGTACTCGGCGTCGGCGGGCTGTAGTGTATCCTTACAGAGATCCTCTTCCCCACTGCTCTGCTCCTCCTCTGGCAGAAGCTCAGGCTCAGAGCGGGACTTCAGAGCTCCGGGCTGCTTATTCTGGCCGCAGTGCGAAGGAAACTCCTCTGAATCCTGCATCCTGCTGAAGACGCTGAACTTCTTCTGCTGAAAGACACAGAGAACCTTAATTGTGAAGGTCAGGGGTTAAAAGCTGCTACGCACACATTAACCACCTGGTGCCGGACCAAAATAGACTGTTGAGGATTGTCTCTGAACTGATGGCCCAATGCCCACACTTGGCAAGTCAGCGGTATTTACGTGGATTTACGCCCATGAAGATTTCTGTATGAGACTGTATAAACACAGCCAGTTGTAATTCACAGCTAGGAATCTGAAGAATTCTGTATCGAATATCAGCAAGCAGAGTTTGATAACACAATAGCTTTAAGAGAATAAAGCAGTCTACTCGTCAGAGCATTGTAATTGTTTTACACATTTTAAAGTAACAAAGTCATCATATTTACTAAAGTAAGTGTGTGAAGATTGCATAGTACAGAGTTCATGCACATTTTTACAACTAAAATTCCATGACATTTCCAAAACTTTCAAGAAAGTTTTCATGACCTATAATGTTTCATGCAATGTCTACATATGCTGGTAAAAAAAACAAAAACAATGCATGTTCAAATTTATCACAGCATATCACAGCATATAAAAATCACGTAGCAATCTCTTTAGTTTCAATTTATATTTATATTTATGTACAATTTATTTAGATAATACTGACACCGCACTAATATTTTCAGAGATTGACCAAGGACAAAATAGAAGTCAAGACAACCAACCTATACTCAAGTACACAGATTTTTGTTTTTTTTGTTTTTCCAAAATGTTTTCAGGCCAGGAAAATGCCATGTCAAAATTCCATGACTTTTCCAGGTTTTTTATAACCATAATAACACTGAAAGTAAGTAAAAATCAGTAAAATTGCTTTAAAATGTTTTAAAAAGAGCTGTTTGACTGCTGCTGTCCATAATAAAAGAGTAAAATTTATTATCATGCTGTTATTAAAATTTGTTTCCAACATGTAGATCTAAAAATAATGTAAAATGATGTATTTACATTTATTTATACATTAAAAACTATTCTGAATATACATTATATATATATATATATATATATTATGCACAAAACTATTTTATATATTCCACTTTGGAAAAAGTTAAAGAGGTAGTTCACAAAAAAAGTCATCACTTGTTCCAAAACTTTATGAGTTTCCTTTATTTGATGAACAAAAAGAAGACATTTTTAAGAAAGCAGAAAACCGGTAACCATTGACTTCCACAGTATTTGTTTTTCGTACAATGAAAATGTAAATGCTTTCTTTAAATCTTCTTATGTATTCAGTGATGAAAGAAAACTTAAACTGATTTGGAAAAAAAAAAAGAATAAATAATGACAGAATATTAATTTTTGGGTGAACCATCGCTTTAAGAGACCAAGGTTATTCAGCCAAATATTCACTTTTGACCTTTTCTGAAGTTAAAACATTAAACAAACTAACAAAAAAATACATCTATTGACGAAGTTAAATCATTTTAGCTAACTTATAGTTATTTGTATTAGTTATTACCAAAAAGAACTGGAAAAAACAAATACTACGTTTTAAAAACGCTACTCTGAATATTTCGACATGTAAATGACTTTAAAACAACATAGCATTATTTTATTTACTGCGAAGAAGGTTGTAGGCTAATTCAAATAGTGATTAAAATTTCACTATTTACTGAAATTATATTGTTAAGGAGGAAGTCCAATATAAACCAACTTTACTCCCCTACCTGCTGCTGCTGGTGGTGATGGTGTAAATACGCCGCTTTGTACGCCGCCGCCGCCGCTGATGTCGAAGGCAGATAGTGATGAGCTCCATAACTCTGATGATGATACATAACATCCAAACAACTCATGGCAGAGTCTTATAGGCGATCTCAAGAGGCTCTTCAGATACAGCTTCCTCAACCGCTGATAAACGCTGTCATCATTCCTTCCCCTGGCTATATAAACCTGCGCGTTGACAAAAGCGCCGCGGTTTGTAAAAGAAAATATTAACATAAAAACAAAAGTGTCACCAAACGAGGCTTCACCACCTACAGACAGGCAGTGCATCAAAACAGAACCACGGGCGCGGAGTGCGAGCGAAAGTTACAAGAGTTTCGCTGATTGGGGGAAAGTTTGGAGCGCTGCTATCTGATTGGTGGAATCGGGGATCTGCTGAATTAGTTGAAACACATATTCATGAACTAGTACTCTACCAATAATAGGCTAATAAAAGATGTACACAAATAGATTAATGATGAGCTCATAACTAAGATTTTGACAGTTAGTTGAGGATGCCAGGAGCATTATGGTTGTGTTTGCATACTTAAATAACAGTTCAATAAACAACATTAAAAAAATGGAAAAAAGAAAGAAAATGATCACATAATTTCAGCTACTCGCTTCTTTCTTCTTTCCTCTTATTTCATCTCCATCTGCTGCACACAAAGCAATTTTGGAAACCGGCAACCATTGACTTCCATAGTATTTCTTTACTATGGAAGTCAGTGGCAACCGGTTTCCAACATTCTTTAAAATACTTCTTTTGTGTTCATAATGGTTTGGAACCTCTTAGTTGTGAGTAAATGTTGAGTAATGATGAGTAAATGATGATGATAGTTGGGTTTTTGGATGAACTGCCCCTTTAAATTGCATTAGCCTCTTTAGCTATATTTCGGTGTTGTAGCCTTTAATAGCTGTGAATGGTGACTGCTGCACTCTACAGTATGTAATAATTTACAAAATGAATAATTTTATATATGTTATCACGTATTTGTTTTTAAGTCCTGTCCTCATAATTAATAGGTTTTAGTTTTGCATTAGGCATGTGCTGCCACCTGCTGTAGGCCAAAACCAGAATCCACTGCCTGATGGTGCTCTTGTGGTCAAAGATGATTCTGACTTTTACATTAGACATTACACATTTCTACCAGGATAAGGAACATACGTTTTAACTTCAAAAGGGGTGTTTGTAATATCTGAAGCAAATAATATTAATATTATTTTATAAATTACTCTACTACATTAATAAACTATTATAAAATTAAACTATGATATACGCTAGCCACACCTAAAAAAGTAACAGGTTGACCATTTTATTGTTAATTTACTAATTTTATTGTAATCTATAAAGAAATATATACATTATTTACAGTAAGTCGTGGTAACTATATACTATTATTATATTTAAATATAGTAATCAATGAAGTAATACAAAAGACAATTACATTCTGAATGGATAATTTTGTTATTTCTGCATATTTTGAATAAAATTGTGTCTTAAGCTTAAGTCTTTTTTAACAGAGTTAAAGAAGAAGCTGTAAAAAAAAAAAAAAAAAAAAAAAGCTTTATTCTCAAAATACAGGTACGTGAGCTGTCACTGGGGTTGTATCTTTTTATAAGGTGCACATTTGTACTTAAATGATCCATATTGGTATCTTAAAAGTATACATTAGTACCTAAAAATTAAGAGAAACACTTTTGTACTTTTTAGATATTAATATTTACACTTGTTGTATTTAATATGGACCTTTAAGGTACAAATTTGTACCTTTGGATTCCACCCCAGAGACCGCTCACGTACCTTTACTTCTGAGAGTAACGAAATATTGAAAACAACAACAACATGGAACTGGTCATAACAAAGAAAGAGTCTTATTCCTAATACTTTTTCAGTTTCTCAAAAAAAGTAGAAAATAGTCTAAAATATTTTTGTAATTACAATAAAAAAAGGTTTGACACATAAAAAAAGATTGCTGCCTTGTTTATACTTACTTAAAATGAGCTAAACACAAATCTTGAGATCTTTTGGGGGCAACTTAATTGTTTTATGTTCAATCCACTTAAATATGTTAAAACAACTGAATCGATTTGTGTTGTGACAACATGAATGAAAAGTGCAAAACCCTGCATTTTACAGTCTATACTAGCACTGATAGTTCCATAATGGCAGCTTCTTTTTTTTTTTTTTTTTTTTTTTTGGACAGTGGAAAAAACTATTTACATTATTTTAGCTCAGATTGCACTGCACCAGGTCTGCATCCAGACCCCTCTCAAAAAATATGCTGGATAAGTTGGCGGTTCATTTCGCTGTGGTGACCCCAGATTAATAAAGGGACTAAACTGAAAAGAAAATTAATGTTTGAATAATTATTTTAAGGTTCCTTGGGCAGCTCTCAATGGTTCTTATAAATAATTGCTGATTGTTCATACTGCTGTTCATACTTATTCAGTCATTTATTTTTCTTTGGTTTATTCCCTTTATTAATCAGGGGTCCCCTCAGCATGATGAACCAGCAACTTATCCAGCATATGTTTTACGCAGTGAATTCCCCCTTAAGCTGCAACCCAGCACTAGGAAGCTGTTCATACTTCTTATTTAAAATCAATTGAAACATTGAAACAAACTTTGTTGGGACAACATGAAGAAAGTGGAGCACATGCAGCATTTTGTACAGAGTATGGTAATATATACAAAACTCTCTTGTTTCTTCATTCCTTTACTTTTAAAAGTATTGTAAAACCCTTGTTTCTGGTCAGAAGAACAATTTTTTAAAAATTACAAATGTTTGGCATCAATGTCCATGAAGAATATGAAAAGAGAAACTTTGCATCCTACAAAATGTTATTTACAATAAAAAAAGAACAATCTTTTTATTGCTAAAATGTTTTTCTCACCAAGAAATAAATGGTTCTTTTTGGAACTGTTCATTGAAATTAATTATTTTTGGATTGATCTAATCTAAAAATCTTTTGTATAATGGAGAGCATTGATGGACGTTAAATAAAATTTACAAAAACCAAGGACTTTCATTTTTAAGAAAGTGTAAAAAATATATAATGTTTCTTAATATAAGTATCTTGAGAACATGTAGTTCAATGTAAAGTTCTGATAGACCTATCAATGCTAAAAGCAAGATCTACTTTGAGACAATATGCACTGTAATAACACTTTTTTTTACCATTTATAAATGTCATTATTAGTCTGTATCACTTTTAGCCTGTGTGACCTGAAAATGGTTTTGCATAAACACTACTCAGCCATCAGAGCAGAAGGGAAGCGTCAGGGTATTTATCCATTGTAAGAAAGCCAATTTAATGCACTGGGGAACAGTTTAGAACAGACAAGATGGTGCATTATATTATTAATTTGCTCTGCATAGCCTTTTCCCCAGTTGTTGTTTGATCTCATCCACTCATGTAGACAAATTAAAATTTTATTAGTCACATATACGGTACAATATGCTGTGAAATGTTTATACAACCACTCGTGAAATAAAAA